AGCTCCCCCTGCCCCAAAAAAACCTGATATAAAAATTGGACTTCTTGGTGTAGTAATTATAAAGGGGCTGAACATTTTATGTGTCCCCAGGCCCTTTAGGATGAGTGGGTCACTTGTAGTCTGTCCAGGTGGTTCTGTTTTGGTGGTTACATTGGAATCCAGCTATCGGTAAAGGTTTTATGTCTTCATCGAGGCCTGTATTTGGTAATGCCTACATGCCCTGTGGCAGTAAAATACGGGAACATTCTGCACTGGGTTGTTCTCTTCTTCCTCTGACAATCCCATCTCAGGTTCTCATAATAAAAACTTTGAAAAACAGATGTGTTTTGTATTATTTCTCCGACATGATGTTGTGAATGGTGACGAGGTAAGCACATAGAAAAGAGCAATGGTGGGTACAGCCCAGGGCCAACGTTACAAGAATGCCTTTGGCTTTCTCTACCAGCCTAGTGTTGGGGGAATCCTCCTTCAGGGCTGCAGATGGTTTGTTCTACAACAAATTTGACTGTTCAGTGTTGACCAAATCTGACTCTTCCAAGTATTTTTGGGACACCCCATTGTGAGCATGTGGCTCTCAGATGAGTTCTTCCATCCATCTCAACTGTTTGATTCCTAATGCTGCGCACACACCTTACAACCATCGCAAGACTTTTGTCTTGCGATGGTTGTAAGGTACTTTAAAAAAAAAAACGGACGGTCTGCCTATCTTGGACAGGCAGATCGTACTTGCGATGATCGCAAGCTGCGGCCCCCTGAGGGGCGGGCTTCCGATGACTGCAAAGCCGAACGGGCAGTGTGCACTTGCGCACACTGGCCCGTCCAGCTTTTATCTTACGAACATGCTACACACCCGCCGAACATCGTACGATGCTCGGCGGGTTTTCAAACATGTTCGTAAGTTTAAAGTCGTGCGACCTTACAGTAGTAGAGGTCGCACGGCTTCCACACACCTTACGATAATGGTACGATCGCGGGATTTCCCGCGTTTATCATACGATTATCGTAAGGTGTGTGGGTACCCTAAGAAACGATTGAGGCCTCACAAACACTGGATACCAATAAACATCTGAGACTTGATGTGCTAGAGCAGGGGGTCACAAACCTCTGGCCCTCCAGCTGTGGTGGAACTACAAATACTATGAGGCATTGCAAGATTCTCACAGACATGACTCCCGGAGAGAGATGCTTCATGGGATTTGTAGTTTCACCACAGCTGGAGGGCCGGAGGTTTGAGACCCCCTGTGCTAGAGGCTGCCTTAGGAGTGCCCGAATGCAACTTGGAAATTTGGATCCGGAATGCCATTTGGGTCTGGGAGCCTCAGCTTTAGTATTATATGTATATACTGTATATGGCTCCCATGTTGCCGTACCGAAAATTTGTATTCAGACCCATTTGAATGCATTAACCAAAAAAACATCTGATTGGCCAGAAAAGTCACATGTCCGATTCAGTTTTCATTGGGATTCGGAAATTCTGATATGTCTGAATTTTGATTCGGAAGGAAACGAAGCGCACATGTCTAGTATCATATGTGATAGTTTTCCCCCCTCCCCCTAAGCCCATGGGGGGAAA